TCATTAAATTATATAATATGAAAAAAACAATCAAAAAATCTTGTTTATATGATGCCTATTATGTTATGACAATGCAGGGGTAACTCATTAAACAACTCGTATGCTACAACAGATACCTCAACAGCAGACTTTACTATTGAATAGAGCATGGGAATCTTCTCAAAATCACAGAAATTTTAACGAAACTTCTATTAAATACATATCATACGTGACAGATTGGATATATTCTATTGGTTCAGTGAAATTTATCTAAAAATATTTGGAAGTTGCAGGGTTTGGCAGTGAGAGGAAACGCGGTTGTGTCAACGAGATCAACGTGACAAGTGATGTTGTCATATCAACGTGACAAGTGATGTTGTCATATCAACGTGACAAGTGATGTCATATCAACGTGACAAGTGATGTTGTCATATCAACGTGACGATGTTGTCATATCAACGTGACAAGTGATGTTGTCATATATATGTGACATGCGATGTTGTCATATCAACGTGACAAGTGATGTTGTCATATCAACGTGACAAGTGATGTTGTCATATCAACGTGACAAGTGATGTTGTCATATCAATGACTATAAATTGAAGAATTCGGTATCAAATTGTCAAGAAATTTATCCAGTTTAGTACGCCCTGGTACCAGGCTGGGTGACGTTTTCTACGAAATTAGATATAGAAAACTTCACTATTATTTGGTATATACATGAAGATGTATAAATTATAAAATGACTAATAATAACACAATAAAATGACTGATAATAACACAGGAGAACACGATACTATGAATCTCTTTCATGTCGCCGGTATTATTTAAAACGATTCACATATTTCAGTTTCCTCATAGTATGGCTACTGCACAAGTCAACGTACATATTGAAGTACAAATTTGCTGTGCAATATTGTGCTGTGCAAGAAAATCACCTAATGTATGAATAAAAGTAGATTATTAAACACCATACTTGAGAAACGTGTTTTAAAACTTGAACAATATGCTTGATTTGACTAATCCTCGTAGATAGTGCCTAGAATGAGATATGTATATTTTCAATTATTCGATGAAAACTGATACAAAAAATGCATCCGTATTAACTGACCCGAGCACCTGGTTCTACCAACCAGCCAATGGCAGAAATATTCATTCATGCTATCAAATCAGTATTATAAATGACATGATAAATTCCAGTGATTAAAGAAAATATTACTCGAAAATTCATATGAAATTTTGTAATTTAAGTATTCGACGGGCCACTTCAAGACGCGCGCTGTGGGAAGCCAAGTTGAAACGCTGGCGTAACTATTCTATTTTATTTCAATTATACAAAAATATTGAATATTGAATTTAATCTAAAGAAGACGACTGTGAATTTCCGCCCTAAGTAATTTACCGTAACTAATTCAATGATTCAGGAAAATGAGAAAGGATTGACTACCAAAAACTTGAACAAAATTTATTTAAGTTCGCAGGATAGATTCACGGCTGGCTTGGTTATCCATGGCTGGCCACAAACATCACATCTGCAGGTAAACAAAACCAGAGTTGAAAAAATCGGTTGAATAAAGTAGATAGCATAATAAATCTCAGTGCTCAACAAAAGTCGGTGGAATTCACAATTTCTTAACGGTCCAGTCCCAAAGGATCATGCAGTTTTAATAAATTGTGTGAGAGCGAGGTAAGCAAGGTTCTGGCCAAGAATCAAGCCTCACCTCCATGACGACTCCGGAGCTTTTAAGGAGTGTAGCGCCAGCGTGCCACAGCTGCCGAGGAGGAGTACGTCGGAGCCTCAGGTACGGGAACCACGCTTTCGTCGAACCACCACAACTTCAGACCAAGAGGAGAGCAGACAGCGGCCGAGCAAAGATACTGCAGGTATGCCTTCTAAGAGCCGCTAGGCAAACACAGGTGAAGCGGGAGCACCGTGCGCTTAGAGTGGTTTCGGAAATCTGAACCTTCTTGACAGAAAGATTCTTCTTCAACTTCGGCTTGAAACCGGCCAGAAAAACCGATTATTATGACTAAATTTAAAATGAATTCCACCATATTTTTGTATATCTATGTAAGTGAATTTTGTATTTTTCATTACGTCCTTTGACAACATATAATTTTTTACTTGCTGTAATTAACATAAAAAGTGATGCTGTCACGCTAAAGATTTTGTTTCGAACTGTCGGATTAAATTGCAATGAATTTGGCTAAATTAGTTAACTTTGAACTCGTTAAGAATTGATGAAACCTATCGTTGCATTACAAATGGATGAGGCTTGTGTAGCGTGACACGATTTCAAGCGCTTGCCTAATTCAGGGTGGAAATTTCTTAGGTATCAGATCATCGCTAGGACGAACATTCTAAATTTACTATATTAAAGATTACATCAATTTTATTATTAATTGCATGAGGATTGCATGTTCACCCACAACTTTTAGATAGTATATTAATAGTGAAAATATATATTTCGCTATAATTTGATGCAAATAGAATAGCTTCAAATATTTCTCTCAAAAATCATTTTTAAAAAAAGGTTTCAACATGAATTCAGTTCAAAAATTGCAGTAATTTGTTTAATTGCTATTTAAATGAATTATTGAATAAAATTACAAAACCTGGGCAACTGAAGGAAATGATAAATTACTTTCATGACTGACGTGTGCCTGTATGATGAAAGCTTCAGATAGAGTCAATTATCACACATTCGATGGTTTCATCTTGATATTTTTGGTAATAGTTCCTAACTAATCAATATTTACCGATATTTTACCGAGAAAAAGCTTTAGGAATATGCATATATCGAGTTTTCTCTGCCGTGCGCTCGGGAGAAGCTTGCGAGCATAAGAGCCCGGCGGTGATTGGTGGAGCGCGCGGACAATACACCAATGATGGCGGCGGTCTCTATTGACGCTTTTTTGTCTAGTATTCAATGGTTGAATTCACGTCCGTTCATGTATATTCTATGAGTAAAAATTTTAGAATTTATATTATAAATAATAAAATACAATTATTATAACAATAATGAGAATAATAGTATGGTAATAATACAGGATTAACGCAATAAGTTATGCTGCCATATCAATAACTTTCAATTAAATTGATAATGGAATTAATTTAGCGTGAATTTGGATGTTAGATCTTGGTTGACGTGCACACTTGTTTTCATTTCAAATGTTCTGAAGTACGTCTGCTATTGGAAACTCGATAACAGTCACAAGGAGCTAAAATTTTCTAGGCATATTGAAACGCATGTTAATAAATCCGATAAACTGCTTGGGCTGATCAGACGCTCCTACGAGTACCTAGATATAGAAATGATGAAGCTGTTGTTCACCTCTGTCGTGCGCCCGAACCTATAGAGTTTGGAAACGTTGTGTGGTGACTGTGGTCACCGAGACTCGAAAAAGACAAAAAATTTAGTTGAGAGTGTTCAAAGACGTGCAACAAGGATAATTCCTGGTTTAAAGGGCAAGTCCTATGAAGAAAGATTGAAGATTATGAAGCTTCCCAGTCTCCGTTATCGTCGACTGCGTGGTGATCTCATTAAAAAGTATACAAGTATACTCATAGTTTGTACAAGGTCCCAGAAGGATTACTAGAATTTGAAACAAGAACCAACACCAGCGGCCACGGCTATAAACTAAAAAAACTGCGGTGCAACTCATCCACGCGACAACATTTCTTCTCGCTTCGAGCCACTGACATGTGGAACAGCCTCCCTGAAGATATTGTTGACGCTCCGAGTATGAACGCGTTCAAGAACAGACTAGACCAGGCCATGCAGGAGCATATGTTTAGTCTTTAAATGCCTAGTATCCTACGGAACAACTGAAATCTAGAATCGATTTTAAACTTGCCGTCCGTTGAAAAAATTTGATCAAAAGGCCAGTCTAGTCAAGAAAAGGACAAGAATCGGCGACAGGCCTATTCTTCAATGCCGAAGATACTATACCCCTGTGGAACTGTAGCCTGCCAATTAATCAACTTTTTCTCCGAAGTTCTTATCAAGAAATTCACTTTCTGAAATGCAGTTTCTATTAAATGGTCAATAGGTCTAGCCTTTACATCATTTTACATAACTAGACGTCTTCTGTTCCATCGCTCAAAGATTAAAATGTGATTAGATATTTGTTTAACTGAGTTCCCTAAAAACTTTTCTCTCACATATGTGTGATTCTAGAATTGGTTTTTGTTGGTCGAAGTAAAATTGAAACTTTCCCGTTTTCCCTCAGGAATTTATTCATGTAAAAAACTACAGTTGTATATTATTGGTAATGTATTTCGAACTGAAACTGCCTGTACCAATGGCTCACTATGTATATATACTAGTTCAACCATGGCCTTTACAGGCACTTTTATTTGAGATGCATCATGTACCAGCATCTTGCCGCGACGTAAACCATGATTATTCCTTGCAGCTTTAAAATCAGTGCACTGTTCTTCCGCAACATGCGGCACTTCTTGATAGAATCTTTCCAGAAATGTTGAAAAAACCTATGGATATGAAATGCCTAATCTACTGTGTCAGGGGAGAGTTCTCGAGACGAGCATTGCTCTGGACCTTGGTACACAAATAGCTATGCATTTTGTGTCACCTCAGAGTGGGTCATACGCTAAAATGGCGGCATATTTTTGCAGGAGTTGACAACCGCAATCTTAGTGTAAAAAGTGTTTACAAAAAATTATAGCTTAGAGAGTAAAGACGACTGCCAAAACCCGACTAATATAGAAAATATTATTTTTCCACACTAATAACGTACTTCACATACAGATGTACATTACTAAAGCCTTGAAAATATAGCGAAGTTTCCAAGCGCCGACAGATGGGCAAGCGATATAACGATTTAAGACGCGACCCGCCAGTCGATGGCTTGAGAATGTTAGGCGAGGAAGGCAGCACATCAGCATGACCATAAGCGAGGATATCCGTAATGCTGCTCAGATAATTGACCATTGCTCCGTTCACAATTGTTCATAAATGCGACAAAGGCTCAGCTAAAAAGGATAAATAAAAACAACATCATCAAGAAGTTTCATTACGAAAATGTACTCAACTTCCACATGGAAGAGATGTTCACATACACCTCACGTATTAACAGATACGCTATCGTCTACCACAGCCAGGTATCATTCACGCAGGCACACTCTTATCTCAAGCAGATCAAGCTGATAACCGAGCACGTTATCTCCTGTGCTACAAGTTTTTTTTTCTCATCGTTTGAATCAAATTCATAAACAACCCGTTCGAGGTGTGAGATTCATGCCGGTCCAGCCCATTTCCTTTCAAAAGCTCTACCAGCATCAATTATTTGAGGTTTCGCATGAAAATCCATACAAAAAAATCCTACCTAGCGTGAACAATCAACATTTCATACAAAATCTGTAATAAGCCTCGCATCTTACGCGTTTGCTTAAATAATTTTTATTTTCAAGAAATTATTCCAAATGCGAACTGTAAGGCGTAAGGAGTTAAAAAATAAAAAAGTTACATACTTGTTACGATAGTTTAGCGGCGTAAGATGAAGCTATAACTTTATTCTATTTTTTTACCATCACTTGCAGTGATTATCATCATTGTGAATGATAATTTAATGCACAACAGCATGAATGACTCATTCTGTAAATAATTATTTATCCTTCCATAATAAAAATAAGAACACATAATTGAAAACATCAAAGAGACATAACCGAAACATTCAATTTCAACACAATATTCGCCTTAATTTCAAAATTTTGATATAAAAAAATAAATAAAGGAGACCCGCCAATAACAAAAAAATCTAATCCATGTGAGAAATGAGAAAATACAAAAAGAAACAAGCAGAGATGCTAATTTATCAGCATACTTTTTAAAAAATATTACTGCTAATCATCAAGTTAATCATCACCAGCTACAGTGCGTACTTAAACGACTTTGATTTTTCACTTCTCAGAGAACTGAGATTTTAGAAAAAAAACTCAGAAAATGTTATGAACACTTGGAAGAATACCTGCAGATTTCTGCCTTTTTTTATAACGTCTCAGACGACAAGAAATAAAATCAAAATGTAAGGATGACTGCCGATAACATCCGAAAATAACTAAGTTCTCCATAAACCAATAATTATAGCAAGCTTTGCATGACGCGATCACAGGCTCCGTGACTGCGATCTGAAGGTTAAATGTAAGACTTGCCACAGTTTAGCTACACGGCGGTGGCGAGTGAAGCTCTTTCAACATCATGAATGTGTTAAAGAATATAATAAATTGGAGAATATTACACCACAGGAAATTTTAGCTGCGGAGATTTGGCAAGAAAATAACGAACAAGTTATACCTCAAAACTTTCATGCGCTCAACTTGTTGTGTGATTTGCAATCACCAACAATCTTATCAAAGTTAACTCCCTAAATGAATACTATTTACTATTGAACAAGAAAATACTGCCTAACCTCATGTTGATGACATCGATCCACTTTTGTCTTTCTATACGAATAATTAAGTTGTTGAGAAAGGAATCAGGTGTGAACAGTTGTAAAACTAAAATGCATAAGTAACGATTAGAAGGTTTTAATTTGAAGCTTGAGCAATGATATTGAATTTGTCTACAATTGTTCATGTAACACATTTCAGTTACGAAGATCGAATCCAGAAAGCATCTAATTTAACAAAGGTTCTTCATGTTATATGAATAATACGAATAGATACGATGGAAAATTCCTCACTAGATAACGAGGCTGCTGCTTACTAGGCGATGGCAACACCAGCCTCTTGAACATATTTAAGCAGCGCCAGCTGTTCGTTCTGCGGCAGCTGCTGGAGTCTCTGCTGCACGGTTCCTGGCTGTGCCTGCGAAAGTTTCGCCAGTTTCTGTGCGAGGTACAGCTTTACGTTTGCCACCTGGCCGTTCAGAGGATCAATAACGGCTTTAGGCGCGTAGGTGAGCTTCGAGGAGCCATAGGACAAAGGGTTGTCCTGCATCTTTGAGAAGAGGTCCTCGTTGGAGTCTGAAGGCGAGTGGGTCAACTCGACGGTTTGAATGAGGGTTTGTAGCACACTGCCCCAATGGTTGCCGCCCCACTGCCCCGCGTACACACGTGGGTCACAAAGCACGTTTGTTAAAGCCACACAGCAAAGTTTGCGCTCCGTCTGGCCAATTTTAGGCAGTTCCGGGACAACGAGTTTATCAAGCACCATACTGAACATGCCAGCTTGTAACCTCTCAATGAGCACCACTAAACTCTCGACTGAATGCACCATTATGAATGCACTGAAAAATATTAAAATACTTTTAATATATTTAGTTGTCTTGTTGGTCGTCAGTCGCCGGAACATAACCGAAAAAAGTTGAGGCCAGAAATTCTCAATGGCTTGATGCGGCACATGAAGCAACAGCGACTGAAGCAAATAAAATCCTTCATGATCGTGGGCACGAGATACGTTGAGCTTGTTGAAGATCCCGAGTATGGAGTTGAGTTTGCCCTCCTCCACTATCCTGGCGTTGGCCTTCAAGATGAAGGACTGCAGGAGCCTAACCATCGGAGCGACATACCCTGGCCGCTCCCACAGCGCCGGCATCAGCAAGAATGGCAGCAGCTGTAAATATGGATCAGGAACAGCAGATTTCTGCTTTTCCAGCATAACTGAGAGCAGCTGGAAGATGTACGGGATGATGCTGTCCACCTCGTCCCTGAGAATATCCTGGAACACGGGGAAGAGGTTCTTGTCAAACTCGGCAACGGCGTTGAACTCAACAGCATCGCAGACGTGGTTCACCAGGACCGCCAGAGTCTCGAAGAGGAAGTGCACGTAGTGAGGTTTGGTTGGGTTCTTGGCCACCAATTTAAGTTTGGTGACAAGCTGTTCCAGCAAACCGGCGGCGTATGGAACAACTTTTTCCTTTAGACCTTCGGTGATGCGCAGCACAGCCTTCATTACGTGCTCATTCTGCTCAGAGCCGCTCATGCCAAATGCCTGGACAAGGAAAAAATTTGTTTTAATACGCACAAAGAACGGTTTTTCTTAAATATTAAAACAATTCAGATACAATAAACGATAGCGAACTGCACCAGCAATGGCTTTACTTTATTTGTTGAGTTTTCCCGCTTTAACATGAAATTGCCATCGGTAATTGATCTTTCTTGCTGAACACGACTAAGTGTGTTAACGCACGGCAAACTATAAGTTTAATTCATTTAAAAATTCCTACATCACTTATTTTTATACTGCGTTGGAGACACTCAATGAATGATTCCTCCAGGCACCATTTGATAACCTACTCCAAAACCTCAATAACTTGAACCTCATTAATTTTAACCCAAACTTGAACCCAATCAACTTTAACCTAATCAACTTTAACCTTATCAGCTTTAACCTAATCAACTTGAACCTAATCAACTTGAACCTAATCAACTTGAACCTAATCAACTTTAACCTAATCAACTTGAACCTAATCAACTAGAACCTAATCAACTTGAACCTAATCAACTTTAACCTAATCAACTTTAACCTAATCGACTTGAACCTAATCAACTTTAACCTAATCAACTTGAACCCAATCAACTTGAACTTCATTAATGAGTTACCAAGAAGGCGTTAGCATATGCAGGAGTGGCGAGGGCGGCGAGCTGGTCTGGGGTGAGCAGAGCAGCGCCATCAGCCGCGCGCAGAGACAAGCAGCGGTCCAAGGCGGCCGCCGCGTACGAGTGAACAACAACCGACCGCGCGCCCAGAAGCTGCCGGGGTGGAGGGCGTTAAGGGGTTGTATAATCATGTCATTAGTGTAATAAGATGTCATTAGTGTAATAGGATGTCATTAGTGTAATAAGATGTCATTAGTGTAATAAGATGTCATTAGTGTAATAGGATGTCATTAGTGTGATAGGATGTCATTAGTGTAATAGGATGTCATTAGTGTAATAGGATGTCATGGGTGTGACTGGGTGTCATGGGTGGTTTAAAGTACAACTGGGTGTCATGGGTGGTTTAGGGTGCGCCTGGGTGTTATGAGGTGACATCATTAATGGAATAATTAGCATCAGAGACATCACGAATGAAAAATTCATTACTTAAGTTATAATTTGTACAAATGATAAGAGTTGAAAAGCGATTGTGTGATGCATGCATGTAATTGCAATGATAATGACTGATTGAAGAAAATTACCTGCACGAGGTGCGGCATGGCAGCTCTGACGCTGTCCAGGGGCAGGACGCTGCGGAAGCTGATAAGGTACTTAATACACTCGGCCTTCACAAGCGGCAACAGGTTCACTGCACAAACATTTACTATTATTTTATAGTTTCATCTATTCCTCAACATTCAAAAGTAAGCGTTCAATTTTCAGTCCAATCAATAAGGATTCATATTGTTGGAAGTCATTCCCTTTTCAGTGTTCAATAATTTACATTAGTTTTTAATTCAGTATGCATACTTTGAGTCTAGTCCATCAAAACTATTACTGCTCTGCACTATAACACTTTACATTCTAGGCAAATTTTTTATATTTTTCAGCTGTGGTTCATACGTTTCAATCTTTTAATTTAGACTCCAGGAATACACAATTAGGAAGCTTTCAAACCTTCACAGCAATAAAACGACAGTAGATGATGTTGAACTCTGTTGAGCGTTCAACAAGATTTTTGAACTTAAAGCTCAACCGATAAACAATAATGACCAAAATAATCTAATCAAAAATAATCTCAGCAGCAGTCTCACCATCACGTGTATGACACGGCAGTAGTCTCACCATCACGTGTAGGACACAGCAGCAGTCTCACCATCACGTGTATGACACAGCAGTAGTCTCACCATCACGTGTAGGACACAGCAGCAGTCTCACCATCACGTGTATGACACAGCAGTAGTCTCACCACCACGTGTATGACACAGCAGTAGTCTCACCATCACGTGTATGACACAGCAGCAGTCTCACCGTCCGCGTGCTGGAGTTCAGGCAACACGTGCGTGGTGTAGAACTCAGCCACGTCGACGAGCGCGTTTATTTGCGTGGCGCCGTGGCGTGCGGTTGAGCCCTTGGCGGAGAGCGTCGTGACGAGGTAGAGGGCGGCCACCTTGTGGCGCCAGCACGACTCGGGGTTGCTGGAGTAGCTCGCCAGCATCGACTGGAAACATTGCATTGTTAAGCCAAGTATCTTTAAGTTTATTTAATACAAGCATAATGGGTAATATAGTGAGGCTTAATGAGCCTAGCATTTTAAAGTTTATTTAATACAGGCATAATGGTTAATATAGCGAGGCCTGTTGATCTAGCATTTACAAGTTCATATAGTACAAGAATAATTGTTATTATAGCGAGGATTGTCGAGCCTAGCATTTTCAAGCAAATATACTACAGGCAGAATAGTTCTTTAGTGATGATAATTGAGACCAGCATTTTCATATTTCTAAAATACGAGCATAATATTATTAAGGTAACGTAAAGATCTAATTGCCAGGAACTTCATAAACCACATAAACAATATATTATCTGGAAATATCCTTCAAAATCTGGTCTCCCTTGAATACAGCTCCAGGGTATTAGTTTCACCATCAATGCGCCATCATGATGAGGGGATAAACAAAAGTTTTCACATTAAATTTTCTTGAAAGTGTACTAATAACCTTTTGAAAATTGGTGTAGTTCGGCAGAACTACACCAATTAGACTACAATTCACTACACTGCACTATACTACACTACACCAATTCAGTAAACACCGGTTTACTGAAAAAACAAACAAGAAGATTAATAAAAGGCATGCTCTGGTTTTCAATCAAACTTGCATAATAACCTTTCATACATAAATACCGGACACATATTTAAAAATAGACATTTTTAAAGCAAAAAATTCTTTTGTTACAATTTTCGTGCAAAACCATACCTGGACATAGGCGCCCAAGACGTACCTGCACGTAGGCGCCCAAGACGTACCTGCACGTAGGCGCCCAAGACGTACCTGGACGTAAGCGCCAAGACGTACCTGGACGTAGGCGCCAAGACGTACCTGAACGTAGGCGCCCAAGACGTACCCGGACGTATGCACGCACGACGTACCTGGACGTAGGCGCCGAAGACGTACCTAGACGTAGGCGCCGAAGACGTACCTGGATGTAGGCACGCACGACGTACCTGAACGTAGGCGCCGAAGACGTACCCGGACGTAGGCGCGCAGGACGTACCTGGACGTAGGCGCCGAAGACGTACCTGGTCGTAGGCGCCGAAGACGTACCTGGATGTAGGCACGCAGGACGTACCTGGACGTAGGCGCCGAAGACGTACCTGGACGTAGGCGCCGAAGACGTACCTGGACGTAGGCGCCGAAGACGTACCTGGATGTAGGCACGCAGGACGTACCTGGACGTAGGCGCCGAAGACATGCGTGATGCGCGCCTCGAAGTGCCTGGCGAGGACGCGCACGAAGTCCACGGCAGCGCGACGCCGCGTCTCAGAGTCGGCGCCCTCGAGCTCCTGGCTCACCCACTGGTCGGGGCTGTCCGCGAATAGCTCCTCGTCGCACGCTGGGGAGACAGCATTAATTAATATAATTACTTTTACAATTAGAATTTATCAATATTATTAGTTCTATTATTATAATAAGATTAATTTTACCCAGTGGCCAGAGTTGTTGGTGAAAATCTCCTCGTCGCACTCTGAGGATGAGGGTATCAACTAATATTATTCCTATTACCTATGTGGATTGATTAACAAGATCAATTTTATGATGAGGATTAATTAATAGGATTCCAGCAAACCATAAATGTGGTCACTACGATCCTGACGACTGATGAAACATAGTGTATAGTGCGTTATGTCAATAGTTCCAATTGAGAGAAAAAGAGTTTCGTTACTGACGACTTATATAAGGATAATTGTGGGTACTTAGAGGGTTCATTAAAGTAAACGTGAGAGATAGTAAAAATATAAAGAATAAAATCGTGTGTACGAGATTCTAAAGAGATGAAGAATAAAATGATGGGTAAGAGATTCCAAATAGAAGAAGAATGAAATATGTAAGAGATTCCAAAAAAAATAAGAATAAGATGATGGGTAAGAGATGGAATAAAATGATTATACTGACACCGGGGGCATGGATAGACGTGAGTGCTTTCAGAGCTCGGTGAAGTAAACATGTAAAAAATTATTAAAATTATGAACAAGAGCTTCTAAAAAATATAACTCAGTACTCACTGCAGTGAGTGACAGAGAGCGCATTTTCTCGTCGACGAAAACTTGAGGTCACGGACAGACGGACGGACAGACGGACGGACGGACGGACATGGCGAGCACAATAGTGTATTTTTTCCATAAATTAGAAAATGAGCTAAAAAGAGAAGGAATGAAGTGATGCTACTAACCCCTGAGCTGCATGTTGGGCAGGATGACCTTCTCGCATATGCCGGACAGGACGGCCTCGTTCTCAAAGAAGCCTTTGTTGTGGTCGCGCTCCGCCACGCTGCTAAGGAAGTGGATGGCGTGGCTTACCATCTGCAAGCCACCATAACTTAATACGTTGCTAATGATATTGGATTGATTATATGTTAGATAGGAGTATATGTCATTATATTGGTAGGAAATACTGTATGTTTTCACATTATGGCATTTGTAGGTAGTGCAGTAGCCTCCTATGTTGCTACATCGTACGCAGGTAGTCACATTGGTTGTCTACACAATGACTAGATGACAACAAATGCTATCTTTGAATCAACATTTTTTAACACAATGACTAGATGACAACAAATGCTATCTTTGAACCAACATTATTAAAAACAAATACCTACCCTGAACCAACACTTTCTCTGAACCAAAAACCTCACTCACTGATCATCGAAGACTATCTCTCAAGTGATATGACTGGTTATTTTGTTGAAAACTAGGAAATATTGAGGATTTTCTCATCAATAGTCAGCATGTCAAGGAACTAATTATGTCAAGGGTCTCAGTAACCAACGATTTTCATCCTTAAACTAACAATATTCTAAGATCCATGAACATCACTTATCTTAACATATAATTTAGCAGCTGGATCTCTAATCAAATCACGCAATCTCTGATCTAACAACGAAATCTCTGATACTATAATAACCATCACTATATTTCTCACACAGCAATCAACATAGGGGAAAAAATTTCACTCTGCTTCACACTTCTGTATACACGAACACTAAAGCCAACGTAACGCCATAATCCCCGACCCACACCAGGTTCCGCACAGCATGTGTGGCACCTCATTGCCCACAAGCCCCGACCTAAGCGGTTCCCCGCATAAGGTGCCGCACCTGATCGCACTTGAGGGCGAGGGAGGTGGAGGACAGCAGCTCCCACACGACCGTCACGAAGCGCTCGAGGTAAGGCTCGAACTCCTCCCTGTACTTGCTGGCGTACAGCCCGATGTTCTCGCACACCTGGCTCTTGACCTGTCGTTACATGTACAGCGTTATGGTATGGAGGAAATAATACATGCAGCCCAATGTTCTCGCACACCTGGCTCTTGACCTGCCCTTACATGTACAGCGTTATGGTATGGAGGAAATAATACATGCAGCCCAATGTTCTCGCAGACCTGGCTCTTGACCTGCCCTTACATGTACAGCATTATGGTATGGAGGAAATAATACATGCAGCCCAATGTTCTCGCACACCTGGCTCTTGACCTGCCGTTACATGAACAGTGTTTTGGTATGAAGTAAATAATATTTACATGTACAGTGTTATGGTATAAAGGAAATAATATTTACATGTACAGTGTTATGGTGTGAAGGAAATAATACGTACAGCCCAATATTCTTGCACACACGCCATTACACATAATGTGTTAAGGATTGAAGTGCCATAAATATAAGTATAAAAGTAGCTTATGGACTGAACGTACACTAAGGTCCTTCCATGGAAAGATGATATTTTAATGCATATCATAAAAATTCAGATGTCTATGCTGTTAAAACTTTCACTGAGCCTGAATTTTTTTACTGAACTTTTATAGAAAAAAAGGCAAAGTTGAAATTTAGCAATTGCTGTTTCCTTGAATGTAAATGAGCTGAATGAATATTTAGTAGGTATGTGATTTTGACGCAGCAAAGATAGATAAAAAGTTATAAAAGAAATATCACATATCTGAGAAACTATAGAGTAGTAATTTTTAATATTAATGAAGAACTTACCAACTTATAGCAAGTGCACGATATTATTGTACCTGTTCGAGAACGCCAACTTCCTCGTCAGTGTCGGTGTCGAGGAGGGCGCTGGAGAAGGTGAGCAGCTGCAGGAAGTGTTCCATCCACACGCCCATGTTGTCCTCGAAGAACTCAGGCAGGTCCTGTGCAGACGAACCGTTGTGTTAAAGAGAAGGACCTTTGTGTTAAAGAGAAGAACCGTTGTGTTAAAGAGAAGAACCGTTGTGTTAAAGAGAAGGACAGTTGTGTTAAAGAGAAGGACTGTTGTGTTAAAGNTGTGGCATTGTTCATGGTAACGACTGGTTTCTGTCCGAATCTGTCTGGTTACTAGAGGGTCAGACGGGCGCTTCTTTGCGGGTAAACAAGGCTTGGCAAACGCCATGATGGCTGTGCAAACAGCTCCGCAAATACACTCAGGATATTTTATCCGGATGGTACCGATCGTCTTGAACAACAGCTGGGACAGGGGACTCGGCGGTCCTCCGGCAGCGCATTTCTTGCTTGCACGTGTTCGAGAGTAACTATCTATCGATATTTCAGCTCAGTAACTATTTACTGCCAAATACGTCCCGGAAGATGCACGAGCCTTCAGGGTGCCATACAATATCGCCAGACTCTGGTAAATTTTCGCGGCTGTCACCAAGTCCCATGCACGAAGACATGGGCATTGCTGGGCAAGCTCTGTGTCCGTCCCTACGGGCCGAGGGCTCTATTTGTCAATCCATTTAGAGCTGTCTCTTATACACATCTAGATGTGTATAAGAGACAGTCATAAGCCTTAATACCTCATAAGCCCTAATATCAGATAAGCCTAAGTACCACATAAGCCCTAATATCAGATAAGCCTTAATACCACATAAGCCCTAATATCAGATAAGCCCTAATAACACACAAGCTTTAATACCTCATTATCCCTAATACCACATAAGCCTTATGTCCACCTGAGAGTTGAGGGCAAAAAATAGCTTGGTGATGGACACAAGGGAGGCGAAGATGACTTTCAGGGCAGGGCCATCATTGATGTTCTCTGCAGCAAACTTCAGGAGCTCCTGTTGTGAATAAATATAATTAGTTTATAGTTTATGACTTTATGTGTAATACATCATGGATCTAAAACATGAAATTACAAGATGCCTGTAGGTTAAAGAGTTTACAATAAAAAACTTGACATAGAAATTAACGTATATATACAAACTTGAATTAAATTCCCATCCCAATAAAAATGCTAGAAATGGTTCCAAATTCCCAAGGGTTGCAAGAAAAAAAATCTACACCATAATATAGGAAATGATATCAACAAAGAGGCCTGACATTTGTTCAACTTACATGATGAAGTTTTACTCACCACAAACAGATTGGTGAGGGGCAAGGCAAAGTTGTCAAGCACAAATTTGATTTCCCGCCACAGGGAGTCAGACTTTTGTTCATACTCATAACGGCGCATGACAGAGTACGAGGTTTGTAAAACACCGTTGATTATGTTGAAGTCTCCTGGGGATGAATGAATTTTTTGTAATATATTCAGTAAGGGAACGATGGTGGAAGAATGTAACAAGATGTGAATATGTTATATGAACAATAACATTTTTATATTGGAAAATGATCTAAAATGTAAAATGACAGCACAGGAAATGGGGAAAAAACTAGCATATGGGAGGGATTTGACTTTGTCAGAAAGACATGAGGAATAATACCAAGATAGATCTTATTCAATAATTCAAAACGAAAATATTTGAGACATATAAAATAGTATATAGGTACCTACACACTGATTTCATAATGTTTATTTTTTCAAGGAATATAAAATTTCTTTATCATAATACAAAAAATAGTATTCATACACCAGAGATTGTTTCAGATCTATTATCATCTATAATTTCTTTGTCTACATGGAGTATCATAGCCAGGCCTTCAGGTAAGAATCACTATAATGTCAATTTATTTTTCCAATGACAAAGTGTTAGGTACCTACGCCAATCCTCATTTGAAACTCAAGATAAATTATGAGATAATTTACCTGATTTGAATTTTTCTGCCATATAAGGGATGAGATCAGACCAGGCGTGGGGGAAGTCAGTCTTGCCAATAATTGAGATGGCTTCTGATAGTTGTCGCTGAACAGCTTCAGGAGACCGCAGCATCAGGTCCACAATCTCACGCTTAATCACAGTTCTGTCATTGCTGCTGATGCGGTCTGTTTCACCTTCTTCCTGAACATCCAAATAGCAAAAATTGAGAGCATTGTAACAATGCCTTCTTTGTGAGTTAGAAAGAACAATACAAAAATGAGAGACCAGTGTTCAATTTGTTCACCCACATATGGCACCTACAATGTATTAAAGAGATGGACATAAGCTGAGGATTAAAGGTTTCGTATTGAATTTGAAATATGTAGTCAGGAATCAGCAAGAACAATACAAAAATGAGACACTTTTTATAGACGAGACAGTAGGCAAAGAATGATAAAAACTTTTATAGGAATATGTTTTTTGAAAAGAGCAATTTAAAATTATTTTCAGATAGGTATCTTATTTCAATGCTTAAGAAGCATGCTATTATACAGAAATATATTTTATATCTCATTTCTCATGTTTGTTCTCATATAAGAAGCAGAAGCTTTGCTGCAGTCAAAATGTGAAGCAGAAGTATATGCACTTATAGCTTTCTTCCAGACTTCTTCTTTGTAAGCAGAGAAGCTTGTGGCAAGATCGAACTCTAACCTTAAATACAAGATTTGGTATTCAACTCCACTTTTACCAGAGTCACACTCTTAGACCACAAATCATGCCTAGGTGAAGACCAAGGGTGGTTTTAGAGTGGCTTTGTAATTGGCAAGGTAGGCAGTCCATTTGTGAGAAAAACTAGATTCCATGAAGCTGGCAACTCCATCATAATAAGTACTTTTAATCTCAAATATTATCATGGAAATGAATGATGATTCGCATAGGTATGTTACATAAAACTGGTACATGTCATAAAACCATAAATAATACCCATTGCAGTTGGGAATCAATTTAAACATTATGCAGTGTTCTGGCAGCTATTGGTGCATTTACAAGGTTTTGAAAATATGAGAACAATGCTACATTTGAGTGGAAATATTCAGATAATAATCTCATTTTTGAGCAAACACACTTACGTATGTACTACATTAGTTAAGAAATTGCCTAGGCCATGACAAACCCACAATGGGGGTGTTATATCAAGTATAATAAATAACTGAACTTGACCATGGTTGTAGGATTTCTTAGTTGTTAGCATAGAACATTGTACCATGTATTAAATAGAACTCACAACTTTCCAGCATCTGCGGACCAAATTTTTGAGGTTGATGGCAGCAGCAAGTTTGACGGGTGGAGGCACTTGAGAATCATCACGAGCAGCAAGTGTGAGCAGCAGCACTGAGTAGTTGGCATTGCCCTCAAGCTGCTCTAGGAACTGCTCAGCTGGAACATTACATTCTATTAAAAAATCAGCTCTTACAATAGATAGGTTTGTATATAGATAAGATTCTCAGAGAAATTATTAATAACTGAGATTTTTTGTGACAAAAAGAAGTTAGAAATGCACCAATTTAGCATGGGAATGTTAAGGAAATTTATACAATCATAGCAATATCAAAAATAGTTGAGAGTCCATTTCAGGCATGAATAAGTTCATCATATATGTACTTATCTGCCTGAAAACCAACAAACACAAATACTGCAATTCAATACTTTCTACATTTTATTGTGATGCTGATCTAAAATCTATGGAGGGTAATAATTATTATAAAATTTGTGTTAAATGGAGATAAACTTGACAATGGTTACATACCTTTAACCATAAGTTACAAACACAACTTAAAAGTATAAGTTTGACTAACAATCCAACATCATCAAGTCAAATATGGTACAGTAGTGACATCTGGTTGTGGATGAACATAGACAATAGGAGGCTATCTTGACATCTTCTCACACATTTATGAACTAAGCTTACCTGGCCTGCGCTGTGAAGGGTCTGCAGATAATGTTTGTTGAAGACACTCACACATACGATTCAAATTTTCTTCATTGATCTCCATGATATTTGTTATTGAGAAATCTGCACTGCAAAAAATCTGAGAAGATCCATTAAAATGGCAAAGCTGTGGTCAGCTTAATTCTAATATTTGCTTGATTCATCAGTGCCAAGGAGGAAGAAGCCTATGGTCATACCATTTATAAAAAAAAGCTCAAGCATTTCAATTAGCACATAACATTGCAAACATTGCTGAGATAAGGGAAGCTCTCTAGTCACAGGTTGCAAGTAGATATTTTCCACTTCTGCGCAAGATGTCTAAATATTTTCCAAGTTTTAAAAGAAAAGTCACGTTCTCGGGCTTTGCACAATATGAAATGTACATTTGTCTACCTACAGCCCACTTTCAAAATGTTCTATTTATTATGAACCATGCACAGGATTGACATCAAGATGCACCAGAACTGTGTCGCATGGATGAATTCCAGGATGTGGACAGTCCCTTAGCTCTACTCAACTCAAGAAAAGTCCTACTTATTTCTGGAATATTGCTGTTTCAATATCGTATAATTTCAGTAGGTATGAAATCTTGCAGCTCTAATGTCATATATTTTTGTTTGATTAAAAAATTTGCAGTTTGCACTTTGCAAACGTGTCATTTCATAAAATTTTCAACTTCCGCAATCTGCAGCACTCCAATGCTCCTGTCAAAATATCCAGCAGAACGTAATAATGATAACGAATCAACCCAAATGTATAGTTGAAGATTGCATAGTTGCAGTCACATCAGAGCAGTCCGACTGCCCAATCACATGTTCCGTTGCCACTGAAGACAAATTTTATTGTTGCTGTGACTGTTTTTAGGGTAAAATTAGAGATTTGGGGTAACACATGCGCAGGACATGTAAATAAGTTTGCGGCTTGTAAATGGCTCTTCATGGCTGATGATTGCCAAGATATAGAACTCATGGCTCAAAGAAATGGAATCATGGCTGGCAAATCCACAAAACCACAGTTCAAAAAATCAGTTGCGGCTCACCAAGTAGATATGCTGTATTCATACCTGCTGGCTCCACTGGGACTACTGTAGCGCACCACACTTTAGGACAGGGGTTCAGTTCAGTTCAGTTCTCTCCCACCATAAGGCGCACAAGGCTTGGACGTCACTCCTCCACTGGGTCCGGTTTGCAGCTGCCTGCCGTGCTATGTTCCATGATTTCCAGCCTGCTCGGTTTCTCTGCTCTTCCACCACTCGCCTCCAAGTTGTTTTTGGGCGTCCTCTCTTCCTCCTTCCTTCAGGGGCCCACCCGAGGGCCACAGCACAGTTGCTTGCTCTGTCCTTCCTCAACACATGTCCCACCCAGTTCCATCTCCGTCTCCTCACCACTGACACCACATCACTGATTTTCTCCACTTCTGTCATATCAAGAACCGTCTTGTTTGAGATGAGTTGCTGCCATCGGATCTTGCAAATCTTCCGTAGGCATTTGGTCTGAAAGATATCTAGTTTTCTCTCTTCTCCCTTGGTTAGTTTCCAGGTCTCACATCCATATAACAATACTGAAAGAACCAGGCTCTTGAACAGGGAGGTTTTGGTCTTTCTGCTGATGATTCTGGCTTGCCAAATGTTTGTTAGTCTTTTGAATTGCGCGCTTGCCATTGCCACTCGCATCCTCACATTCACTGTGCAGTCTGTGCTCCCACCATCCTTAGTGACATTTGCACCCAGATATGTGAAGCTTTCCACTTCCTCCACCTTGCTCTCTCCAGCCCTCAGCTTGTTGTTGCTCCTACTGTTGACCTCCAATATCTTGCATTTCTTGGCATTCAGTTTTAGCCCCACTTTTGCTGCATTACTCTCTAACCTGGTTGTTTTTTGCTGCAGGTGATTCATTGTTGAAGACAGAATGGCAATGTCCTCTGCAAAGTCAAGGTCCTCCAGCATGGTCGTTAAATTCATCGGAGCCCAGTTCTTTCACCTTCCAAAGTCCTGCGCATTACATAGTCGATCACAAGGAGGAACAAAAATCCTGACATGCAACACCCCTGTTTCACTCCTGGCCTTACTGGAAACCACTCTGTTGTTTCATTCTCATTAATCACGGAGCACTGAAAGTCCTTGTAGAGTCCTGACTAGCCGGATCAGCTTCTGAGGTATTCCATATTGGCGCATGATGGCCCAAAGGCTGTCTTGGTGTATTGAATCAAATGCCTTCTCATAATCAACGAAGTGGACGTATAATGTAGCGTTCCATTCATTGGCTTGCTCTAGGATGTTTCTGAGAATGAATATCTGGTCGACAGTTTCTCTTCCCCTCCTGAAGCCTGCTTGTTCCTTCCTGAGCAACGTATCCACTCCTGTGTATATCCTGTTGATGAGGATCTTGCTGAGCACTTTGCTGGCCAGAGGCAACAATGTAACTCCCCTCCAGTTTCCACAGTCCTGAAGGTTCCCTCGTTTTGGGATTTTGCAAATGAGTCCCTTGGTCCATTGTGTCGGCACCGTCTCTTGGTCCAAAATCAGGTCAAATATCCGCTTCAACTCTAAGCTGATCTGGTCAATATCTGCTTAAAGCATTTTGGCTGAAATTTGGTCTGCCCCAGGGGCACCTCCATTCCTGAGGGTCTTCAGTGTGGCCCTTATTTCCGCCACATCTGGTGCCTCAACTGAGATATTGAGCTCCTGTCCCACTTCTTCTAGTGGTTCCTCTGGTGCTTCTCTGTTGAGAACTCCCTGAAAATGTTCCTTCCATCTTGCCATTCTGGCCTCTTTCCTCTTCAGCAGCTCTCCGTTCACACTCTTCACTGCTGCAGTTTGCCTGGTGCTGGTACTCTGTCCTGTCAGCCGCTTCACAATACTGTACAATTCTTTTTGTCTTCCGCTTTCTGCTGTGTTCTGTGCTCTTGCCGCTTCTTCTGACATCCACATTCTTTTGTCTTCTCTTACACTCCTCTTCACTTCCCTGTCCTTTTCTATGTACTCTTCTCTCATTCTGTTTTTAATTCTTTCTGATCGGGTGCTTTCAACCCGTATCTTGGCAATTCTCTCGTCGATCAGCCTCCAGGTAATGTTGCTGATCCATGGTTTGTTTACCCTTTTCTTGTACCCAAGAACCTCTTCTGCCGCTTTTGTATAGGCATTTCTCTGCTGCTCCCATATCTCCTCTATGTTATCACTATCATTCCTTGTGGTGTCCAGCTTGTTTATGACTGCCCTGCAGTACTTCTTTCTCGTCTTGTCATTTCTCAGTCGTTCCACATCTAACCTCGGCTTTACCTGATAGTTGTTTCTGTGGGTACTGAGGCGCAGCGTGATGCGTGTCCTCACCAAGTAGTGATCGCTATTGATATCAGCTCCTCTCTGTGCCCCCGTGTCCAGGACAGATGATCTCCACCTACCGTTGATCAGGAGGTGGTCGATCTGATTCTTTACTCTTCCATCTGCAGATACCCATGTTGCTTTGTGGACATTCTTGTGTGGGAATAATGTACCTGTTATCACAAGTCCATTCAGCTGGCAAAACTTGCATAACCTTTCTCCATTATCATTCTGCATCCCCAGCCCATGCACGCCCATAGTCCTCTCGTACCCGCTGTTGTCACTTCCCATTTTAGCATTAAGGTCTTCCATGATGATGGTGATGTCGTTCCTGTTGCATCCATCTAATGTTTCTTGTAGTTCTTGGTAGAACTGTTCTTTCTCCTCTTCCTCCCTCTTGTTGTGAGGGGCATACACTTGAATTATAGTCACACTTCTGTATCTCGAGTAGAATCTTGCTGTTATTATCCTCTTGTTGACTTGTGTCCATTCCATGAGTGACTTCTCTGCCTGTTGACTTATCAATATAGCAATGCCTCCCTCATGTAGTTCATCATCTCCGCTGTACATCAACGTCTGTCCCGTAGCCAACCTCGTCCTGCCCGCTCCTGCCCACCTGCACTCGCTGATCCCGAGCACATCCAGATGGGATCTTTTCATCTCGCTCACGATCTGTGCTGTAGCTCCTCCCCTGTACATGGTTCTCACATTCCAGTGACCGATGGTGAAAATGTTTTTGGGTGTCACTAGAGATCTTGTCGGGCGTTGGACTTCCCTAAGGCTTTGACCCATCGCTGTCATAGGGCCAATATTGGCAACCTCTGTTTTGCCCTGGTTAACTTGCAATATGCCGTCCATTGTTTCTGTCACAAGATTGTTTTCTGGGAGTAGGTTGTTAGCCTTCTGCCCAACCCCCAGGCTTGGAGGGCCAGTGGTTCTCTGTCAGGGTTTCCTTCCCTTAGACTGCGTTGGTCCACGTCACCTTACGGTGTTCCATCCATCCGCCACCCAGAGGACGTGCCTCGTACGCCATGCAGTCCCAGCGCGAGGTTAGGACAGGGGTGGGGGTGTGCAATTCAAAGCCACTACAGGGAAGGTAAATATGTAGGAAATGACAGTGATTTTCAAGCTGAAATGCTATAGTGCACTCGGCCAGGGCATTTGCTCTAATTTTCCAATTTGGCCAGCGCGCTCCTGAATTCCATAGGTAGATGGTCAATTCATAGTGGCTAAGCAGAGTTTTCTAGACCTTTCCTCAAGTGCAATTTTTAGTTCCTATATAAAAATATGCAGACCAGCAAACTATTGTGGATAGTTGAATACCAGCGTTATCATACACAAGTAACACAAGATAATAGTTTATAAATTATATCTTTAGGAGTTGACTAGATTATCATGAAATTAAAAATAAAATGATTCTAAAAAATCTGTGGTTTGTCACCAGAGCTGGGAAGTCCAATTTTTTCTGAAATATCACAGCTCTAATATCATATGAATTCAATAGTTATGAAATCTTGTGGCTCAAATGTCAAATTTTGGTTGGATTTAAAAAAATCACAGTTTGCACTTCACAAACATGTCATTTTGGAAAATTGTCTTCCGCAATCTGCATTACTTTACCATTCCCGCCAAAATATCCTGCAGAATGTACTGTCAAATGGGGTAAAAAGAGACGGTTTGGAGGGTTTTTTGTTAATAACTTCTTACTATGAAACATTTCATAAAAAAGTTTGGGCTCATTTTAAAGGTCTTTGCAATGGCTATAGTATGGCATCTCCAAAAAAATTCCATATGCTATTCGTAAGGTGCCAGACACAAAATAAAACCGTCCCGATTTACCCCTGGGAACGGGGTAATCCGGGACACTTGCAATAAAAGTTAATTTTAAAACGTTTGAAGCATGCAGTCCTCCTCTCATCCATTACTAACAGTACTCTGAAGTCCTCCTCTTTCATTGTAGATGATGTAGATGTAAAATAAATGACATTTTCTGTGATTTTTACTTGTTTTTCCTTTATTGATATGATATTACCATATTCATTAATTACCGTATTATTAATATGTGATATTACTGTTTCCATGGACATGCCATTGAGCATTGACAATGACCTTGTCCACTGCAAGCTTCATATCAGCAGCCATGTAGCATTTCTTCTGTATCTGTAAGCTTACAGGATGGTTTATAATTTCGCACAATTTTAATCGAGTCTAGTGATTTCACTATAACAAAAAAGATCGTGAAAAACATACCTGAAAAAGAAAATAATGTTTTAGTGACAACCATCATATGTTTTGAAGAAATAAATCATAGTTTAGGTCAATTGCTTTTCATTCTATGATGCCCAGTGCACAATTATTTATATAGCATTCTAATGTATGTACAATTTTGTGACAACCGATGATGCACTAATTTTTTGATAAGTGAATTTTTTTCGCCGAGCAAGATAAATGTAATCAAAATTCTTTGTTGTTAATCAATTTTTCTGTCAACTGGAGCCTTTGCTAACTGAGGTTCTACTGTAAATGCATTTTCAAGGGTGTCCCTAATTACCCCAGGGGGGTGTCCCTTTATACCCCATTGTGCAGAAATGGCTGCCATTTTTTTTCAATGAGATAGGCAAATTCTGTCAATTACGTTTTCAGGCCAACACCTGGGTGCAACTTTTATGTAAGTAAAATTTTTTAATACAACGAATATTTTTTTTGCTCCAGACCTTAGCAGAGGTACCGTAAAATGGGGTAACTTAGACCGGCGGGGTAACTTAGACCACTTTTCGTTTTTTTAACAAAAACCCCCACAACTCAAAAACTATTTGACATAGAAAAATTTTGTCGATGGGCATTAAAGGCCTAATACTGAGGCTACATAACACAATAGAAAGATTTAAAAAGTCTGCATATCCAATAGGTTAAAAAATTAAAAATGTGACCCACGAAAAAAAGCTATCATTTAAAGCCTGTCAGAGTACCCCCTCCAATTTTTTTATTTTTTGGTTAAATAACTCCAGGTTTTGATGCATTGTAGTAGAACTCTTCGAGTTACATATGCAAATGACAAATTTTAGGAAAGTGTCATAGTTTGCAAATGGGGGGCGCTGCAATTTATGGTGAGTGAAGCTAGAGTATAGACCTGTATTTTGCATGTTTCAATTCAAGTTTAATTTAGCTAGTAAAAAAATGGTATCATTTATAGAAAAAAAAGTGGTCTAAGTTACCCCATTTTATGGTACTTTTCCAAAATCACACTTTTCACACTTTTTTTCAACAATTTTTTAGAGATAGTAAATGTTTGATTTCTTGACTAGCTTTATACATAATAGATAGTAAATAAAATACTTTAAAAAACTTTTTTAAAAACCACGTCTTTCTTGTGGACTAAAAAGTAGAAAATAAATTATGGTTTGCCCAAAAAAAAACGTGTGTCAGACAGATTTATGATTAAAGCGAAAAGCACACAACACTTGAATTTTGGTAATTTGATGGTGAACGTACAGCCCGACCCACGTTTTTTTTGGGGGCGAACCATAATTTATTTTCTACTTTTTAGTCCACAAGAAAAACGTGGTTTTTAAAAAAGTTTTTTTAAGTATTTTATTTTCTATAAGTTGAAAATTTTATGAAATGACATGTTTGCGAAGTGCAAACCGCGATTTTTTAATCAAACAAAAATTTATGACATTCGAGCCGCGAGATTTCATACCTACTGAAATTATATGATATTAGAGCCGCGATATTTCAGACAAAAATAGGACTTTTCCAGACTAGGATGGGACCAGCTCACTTTTTTTAATCTGTACACTGTACAGAAAACTATGCTAGATGCAAAACATCTGAGTTGTAGCTTAGAAGCCCATTGCATAACTACACCTTGTGATAGGTCTAGGGTTTCTTAGTTATTCATGGTATAGATGCTACAGGCCAGTCAGGCCTGTTAGTGATTTTGGTCCTGTCTTACCCCATCTGACTATATATATAAAGCAAATAAGCTTCAATTGATCAATTTATAAATAAATATATATGCACATTCTATCTTGATGAACCGCACTTAATTGCAATATTTACTAGACTGTAGAACTGCAGAAGTAAGGCGTTTGAATCAATGAACTTGTCAACTTGAGAAGGTTGAACTACCTAACTATGAGTGAGATGAACATGGTAATTTTTCGATGTGAACATGTCAGTTTTAACATAACCTATTTAATTGTTGCTAACATTAATTTGCAAGAAATTTGCTCGAGTTAAATTAATGCTGAAATATTTTCCCAAGTTGAATAAATAAACTTTTTTAAACACGCTAGTATAAAAAAAAAGTTTGGCATGCTGCATTTCCAGAACCCCAACAAAAATTGCGGCTAACAGGGAAATTTGAAGTCATTCTTATTCTTTTTCGCTTCGGACTTTCGAGAAACTCGTAGGATCACGGAGATGAGAAAAAGGTTTTAATGTATTTGTATTTAGTTTATTGTAGTTTATTGATATTGATATTAAAATGTAGAGGCTGATTGGAACATTCTGGTTATTCACTATGATGCAGTTTGCAAGGTGCAAGCTTCTTGCGTATTACTTTAGATTAAGTGCATCCAAAAAAGGGTGTTTGTTTTTAATTATATGTTTTTTGGGTTGTAGATTAAGAATCTGAAATCTGTTTTTGGTGGTCAGCATCAGAAATTTTTAATGGAACCTGTTCCTAACTGGACCTAACCTGCAAGGTTTTCGTTGATCGGCTAGGTTTTTTTCTATGTTTGAAGTCCGTCCAGCGGCCGGAAAAACCTGGCCAATAGGTTTTTTCTATGTTTGGAGTCTGTCCGGCCGCTCACTCCGGCATAGTGACAAACCACAGATTTTTTTAGAATCAGTTCATTTCGAAATTCCTCATCTACTCAGGATTAACCTTTTAGCGGGCAAGCATTGAAATATCCAGAAATTAAAATTTCAGTAACCATTTCAAGACAGTAAGAAGTATTATACAACATATTTATTACTATGAATTTTTGCAAATTTTGCCTATTGAAGGTTTAAATCGCACTTGAAGAATTCAATAAATGCGATCAGTACACAAAATTTTTCTTTATAATTAAAATTCAGTTTATGCAAATGAAAACTTAGAAACATAAAAATTCAATTTAATTAAATTTAATCAAGGTGCCAAAATAAATAAATATATATATTGATATTTCCACCTTTTGAAGAAAATGCGGAAAGAGCGTCAATTCCATTGTCTGAGACAAAACCTTCATTTAAATGCTCATATTTCAATTTGTGGACTTAGCAGCTGGTGATGCTATAGCTAGATAGAATGATGGTCAGATAATTAGGGATTTACTGAGGCATTATAAGGATGCCTCAAAAACAAACAGGAAGCCGTGGTGAGGCTTTTTGTGATGCGATTTCAAGTGATCATATATGGTAACTTACCCATGAAAGGGTTAAAACCAATTTTTTATGTACCTAATATAATGCTGGTATCCATGATACTTTACTAGTCTACTTATTGGACTCAAAAATGAACTTGAGGAAGAGTCTAAAAACACTCTGCTTTGCCACTATGCACTCCGGCAGCTGGAGAAACCTAGCCAATCAACAAAAACCTTGCAGGTTAGGTCCAGTTAGGAACAGGTTCCATTAAAAAATTCCGATGCCGACCGGCAAAAATGGATTTCAGGTTCCTAATCAATACACCAAAAAACATATAATTAAAAGAAAAAAAACACCCTTTTTTTGGATGCACTTAATCTAAAGCATTACCGCTTCTTGTACTATAGAGTATAGAGTAGGAAAATTTCAATTCTTGA